TAGTGTAAATAGAGTAAAAAAAATGTTTTTTACTTGTGCCAAAAGGTACGCATATATCTGGTTTGTACATAAATGAAAAGTTAGATATAGGCTTTACATCGTCAGAATGGAAATAATGGTAAATCCTCATCCTAGAAATGCAAACAAATGCAATAATTCTGGTGAGAACATTTACCATTAAATAGCAAAAGCTATAGTATTTAACGAGTTTATATTTTAACCGCTTTCTTTTATCATAGCCACATTTTCAAAACTGCGGATTTCTTACAACCGTCAAATCATTTGCCTACCTAATTGCTCAGATAGTAGCTCAGATACCAGTGATAATAAATATCAGTGTTCGATCAGAATGATAAACCTGGAAATGCTGATTTTCAAGGCAACAATGTTCTCCCTATTTGGATAAACAAGCCCAACACAATATCCCGTCTTCTTCTACTTGACTGAAACTTAGTAAATGCCTAAACAAAGAGTTGTTACCCAGCCTGCTGTTACTTGAGTACTTAGCCCTATTCTATTAAACTATTTATCCTCTTCTTCTTCTTTTTCTTCTTCTTCTTCTCCTCCCGCCCATGAAAATGCAACACGCGGGTTCAACAGCTGTGCACAGGTTACGCTTGCTGGCAGCAAAGGAATGTAATTTCTACAACGAGATGTCAAGATATATGCCAAGATGTACGGAGAACGATCCGGGCAAAAGTATAAGCATTGTTTGATGCGTGTGTCAGATTGTGAAGTAATCTCAGCTACTAATTACTGCCGGCAAACTAGGCATTTCCGTTGCGTGCTGTGAAGGCGTGAACAAACCACCGAATACGGACGGTTGTTCTTTTATGAATATTTCGTTTTCTTACGTTACCCCGATCTATTTTAATACATTTTTTTTTTAAATCGTTATCACCCAACTAAGAAACAAAGTGTTACTGGGTGTGGATGAATTAGAAACAGAAACATTAATAATAAGCGGGAAGAGAAAAGAGTAATCAGGAGGACAGTAGATAGCGATTGGCATTGCATTTAAATTTTTGCAATGGAGGAAAGCCACTAAAATACAAGGGGTTACTGAGTGTGGAAGAATTAGGAACAGAAACAATAATGAGCGGGAAGATGAAAGAGTAATCAGGAGGACAGTAGATATCGATTGACATTGCATTTAAATTTTTGCAGATTAAAGTTGGCTGAAAAGCATTGAGCCGGAAGGGAATTCCAGAAGCGAGATATGAGAGAAAAGAAACTGTTAGCATAGAACTTGCGGTTACATCCAGCCAGATTAACTACAAGTTGATAAAATATCGACGTCAGTCTAGTATTGGATTTAAAGTCAAAAAGTTTTAGTACCAGAGCGAAGAGCTCATCTGAACAATAACCATGAAACTATTTATAGAAAATACACAGAAAGGCAACTTTACGGCAGTGGGGAAATGAATGAAGCCGCGCCGCCACACCATGACCAATAATCTGTATTTACTCAGCCCCTCACGAGGTAAGGTTGTGACACAAGGTCGGTTTAATGTGAGGAGCCCGAGCGAGTGCACCCGGGCTAGGAACAAAAATTGCCCGGTTGCGCTCGCCTCGGTGCAAGCACCGATCCCTCCCTGGTGCAATGAGAGAGCACGTCCTCGGACAGCTGTTCCCCAGGGCACCTATAATTTTCCTCAGTTACGATTCTGTCTTTTGACGGAGCCAACACTGAGCGCACTCTATCCAAAGACAGCAACTGAGAGATGATAAATAGGGTGTTACAAACTACACGAGAGCAATTTACACAGGACCAATAATAATTGACGATTCTTCTTTGGATTTTATCAAGAAGTTCAAAGTAAATAGCCGGGTCACCGGACCATATATGACAGCAATATTTTAAGCATGGACGAGTGGTAGACATATAGGTATGTAAGATAGATTCTGAAGATAAAACTTGTCTCGCACGTCAGAGTGAATCAATTTTTTTAGCAGCTGACCTAGCAATGGATTCGATATAGTCTTTCCACTTCATGCCAGCTGGGAACATGAGCCCCAATAAGCTGTTATAGACTCTTCTGCTACCACCCCAGGTCAGGATGGACCTGGGAACAGCAGTAATTAAGAGATGGTTTCTCGTTTCTGAAAACCTTGCTGTTGGATATAGTTTATTGTCATACCCAGGATTGTGTTTTCATTATTGAAGGATTTATCTATCAAAGCGATTTGCAGCGCGTGAAAGAGTCATGATCGATTCGTGCAAGGTCAGGTGAATATGGTGGATGGGTTAGAAGAGACGAACCGATTTCAACATTTTTCCTGCGTTAATCTTTCTGTATGCGGCTCTGTGTTGTTATGAAGGAGGACATCAATTTTTCTTATTGGCATGCACAGGGCTACTTTCAGAACTAACTTATATGGACATGTTGCAGCTGATGGACGTATGACTGTGCATTTAGAGTTAAATTGCGTTTTAAGAACAGTAAATGTTTACTACACGGGCGATTCCACCACACATACAACATTATCTTTCTCACCTTGGGTTCCGTATTTGGAGTCGGTTGTAGATATTTCTTTCTGGTCAATGCACAGTTTATGTTAAGTCTTGACATAGGTAACTCATTTTCACCCACGTTCCGGGTAAGACGATAAACTACATATAACAGCAAGGTCTCTTGTCAGGAGGTTTTGAGGAGAGTGGTACCATCTTTTCATTGCTGGTGTTCCCAGATCCACCCTGACCCAAGTTGGTAGCATCTGATAGGGGCCCCTGTTATGGGCAAAATGTTAACCCCCAAACTTGGATTAAAACACTATGAAAGTGGAAAAATAGATTTTAATACGAATAATACATTTTTGGTAAAAATTATTTCTAGCAACAGATTTTTGAGAAAAATACCAGCAATATATTTTGAAGGGAAATTATTACCAGCCTTAAAAACAGTACATTTTTGAAAAAAAATATTATCAGCAATAAAAATCTTATTGGTATTAAATTGATAGTACCCTATTTATATTATTCGGACTATTGTCCTCATCTTTGTCGCCATATTTATTACAACGTTTCGGCCGTTGTCCGTTCCGGCCTTTTTCAAGTGGTTGGAATGTCGAACTGAACCCTTTATTTCGCTCGCTGGGGTAGACTTCTAGTTCCACTGTGCCAAGTGTCCTTGAGGACACATTGGCGAAAAGTATGCATAATACCTCATCTCAGAAATATAGACAAATACAGAAGACATCTGATACTTCCTGAAGTGATATATTATCTGTGTATGAATTTCTGGGTTATACACAGATGTCCTCAAAGACAGATAGCACAGTGGATAAAGGCATTGGTTAGATCCAGTGACAGGACCCAAAGAGTGTGAGTTCAATACCCGGTTAAGGCAGTGGAGAACTTTCAGAGGGAAATTAACAGGAGATAACTGATAACTGACATCCATTAAACATGGCACGTGGAACTAGAACAGTCTACCCCAGTGAGCGAAATAAAGGGTTTAGTTCAAGATTCCAACTACCTGAAGAAGGCCAGAGTGTACAACGGCCGAAACGTTGTAATAAATATGGCGACAAAGATGAGGACAATAGTCCGAATAATGTAAAAGGTGTTTATAAATTTTCTCTTTCTCTTATTCCTTCTAAACCGTGTTCCGCCATCCATTTACTCAAACACACTAAGAATGTTATGCGTTGTTTTTCTCTGTCTCTCTTGCCTTCAATCTGTCCTGTGAGTATCAGATTTTCCAAGCACTCCTTCCTCATTATGTGCCCTAGAAACCTCTACTGTATCTTACAGTTTTTAAGTATAAGTTTCCTTTTTGTTTTCGTTTTCTCTAAAACTTCGTCTTTGCTGACATATTCCGTCGATGGTATCCTGACAGCCTCCTGTAGAACCACATTTTTGCTACCTTAAGTCTCCTCTACATCTGTGAGGAGATTGTCCTGCATTCACTCTCATACAGGAGGACTGTTATTGTTGTACATAATAGTGTACAAAATACCTCATCTCAGAAATATAGACAGATACTGAAGGGCCGAAAATTTTTAATAAATATGGCGACAAAGATGAGGACAATAGTCCGAATAATGTAAATAGCGTACATAATACCTCATCTCAGAAATATAGACAGATACTGAAGGGCCGAAACGTTGTAATAAATATGGCGACAAAGATGAGGACAATAGTCCGAATAATGTAAATAGTGTACAAAATACCTCATCTCAGAAATATAGACAGATACTGAAGGGCCGAAAATTTGTAATAAATATGGCGACAAAGATGAGGACAATAGTCCGAATAATGTAAATAGCGTACATAATACCTCATCTCAGAAATATAGACAGATACTGAAAGGCCGAAACGTTGTAATAAATATGGCGACAAAGATGAGGACAATAGTCCGAATAATGTAAATAGTGTACATAATACCTCATCTCAGAAATATAGACAGATACTGAAGGTCCGAAACGTTGTAATAAATATGGCAACAAAGATGAAGACAATAGCCCGAATAATGTAAATAATGTACATAATACCTCATCTCAGAAATATAGACAGATACTGAAAGGCCGAAACGTGGTAATAAATATGGCAACAAAGATGAAGACAATAGCCCGAATAATGTAAATAATGTACATAATACCTCATCTCAGAAATATAGATAGATACTAAATTGATGGTATAACAACATTGAAGTTGATATACTGTAAAAGTAAACACACCAAATCAAACCATTTTCATCCACTGTTATGATATATTGAAGGAAGGATTAACTCAGGTGGTACATTCGTCATTAGAATTAAACCTTTTTAAACCACAACCGACATTTGCAAGGCTTCACTGCATCCAGATACACTGCAAAAATGTTTTGAAATGCCTCTATAGCGTTAATTCTCTTTATGAATTGGCTTACAGCCAGATCACATTAAAACACCGATTCCCGTACGATCACCGGCTAAGCAACGTCGAACCTGGTCATTACCTAGATTTGGGAATACCAGGTGGTTTAAGCTTGAATGTGCGGGTGGTGTAATGGGTTTACGACCAGATCACGTTGAAACACGGGTTCTCGTTCGATCACCGAAGTTAAGCAAGGTCGAGTATGATCTTTACCTAGATGGGTAACCGCTTGGAAATACCAAATGCTGTAAGTTTGAATGTGCTAGTGGTATAATGGACTTATAAGATCACGTTGAAACACGGGTTCTCGTTCGATCACCGAAGTTAAGCAACGTCGATCCTGGTCAGTACCGAGATGGGTGTCCACTTGGTAATTCCAGGTGCTGTAAGCTTCAATGTGCGGGTGGTGTAATGGGCTTACGGCCACATCAGGTTGAAACAAAGGTCTCGTTCCATCACCGATGTTAAGCAACCTCGAGCCTGGTCTGTACCTAGATGGGTAACCGCTTGAAAATACCCGGATTCCAATTGGGTTCGTTATATTCACTTATGTTTGGGAAATACATAGGGATAGCTCTTCTCCTCCCAGCTATGGGTTAATTAGTAAGACTTGTATCCCTAAACCATTATTATCTAAAAGAAACTTTAATAATCTAAACTTGTTTCCTGGCTTTAAATAACCTTCAAAGTGTTGACAAACCGTAGAAAACGAATCAACCTACCAAATTCATCCAGTAAAATATAGAGAATATGTTGCTCTTAAAAATTATAATCCCCCATGAGGTTAAACTCTGAAATGAAATTAAATGAAATACTGTCAGACTGAAGACATAATAAACTAATTCTAGACTCAGTTTCCTACCTTTCAACTTTGGTTCTCTTTTGGTTGACTGACACATAAATCAAAGGGATGAAATGCGTGATTACTTTCTGAACAGTTTAATATTATTCGTTTCATGCCTCTTGTCAGGAGAGAGAGAGATATTTTGTATCAGACCAAATCAAATCAATCGTATTCAAGGTTTAAGAATAGGTTACAAAAGACAAAATGAAGTGTCAAAGGAAATACGACACGTACATTACTGAATTGCGAAAGTGTAGACACGTTTTAGAAATTGTTTCTGACAATGAAATATATTTTGCTTTTAGACTACCAACAATTTTTACTTGATTGAAAAGCTTGTTTCTTCCTCTTCCTGTTGAAATCGATAAAATGTTTTCAATTCTTTGCGTGCTTTATGCCTCGTTTGTCTCACGTTTCCTGGCACTTTCGTTAACAAATTGGAAAATGATGTCTTTGTTTTAAACAACAAACTAATACATGGCCCCTGGTTAGCTCCTTGTGTCCCTTCAAAAGTACCTAGTACATTATGCCCCAGAGCTATGAATTCAGTCAGTAGAGTGATGACATGTCATCACTGAGCGGAGTAGAATTCAATGCTGACATCAAGGGCTAGAGCGTCGGGGGTTGGTGGGTGTTTCCCCACGATGGAATCAACTGCCACATGTTCTTGATCAAGGCGGGTGCTCAAGTTAGAAGACATCTCAAAGCGCTACTGGTGAGATATAACCAAGTAGTACCAGCCACAAGGTTGGGTCATCGGCAGCTAAACCCAGTTCCCCAACATGATTTTTCTGATATGGAGGATTGTTGGACACTGGAAAGATCTGTCAAAGGGCGGAGGAACTTTCTTGTAGGGTTGACCTTCTTTTTTTTTGTCCCCCTTTTATTTTTGTTCCTACTTTATTTAGTTCAATTCCCCCTCCGCTCCCTATTTAGATGAACAGAAATGTCAATTCTTCAGTGAAGCGTTTTTTCACCAGCGGGCTTTTACCAGCGTTTTTTACCAGCAGGCTTTTCGCATTTATTGTTGTATTTGAATATGTGCGTAATTAAGTGAATGTTTGATTGCATCAAATTATTTAAGTTCCGTATTAATTTCGCCCAGTTCAGTGATGTTTCTGCTACACTTAAGGATTGTGGGGTTATTAATAACATTAATTTGTTTTGTTTATTGTATTAATATTGTAATCATTGTAAATACCTATTGGGGTTTAATTTTTAAATATTCTTATTTTGATTACCCCTAAACAAATTGTACATATGGGAACTAGTTAAGACTGAGATATTATGGTGGCACTATTAAGAATGCTAAGTAAAAACGTGTTGTTTTTGTGTAAGGAATATAGTGCTATGTTTAGGTCAGTAATTGTTGCTTGCTAAGTTTAAGATAAAATAGATTGAAGACCAGTCTTCCTCTCTCGCCCACTTTTTGCCTTGTGCCACATTTTTGTATTACGCAAGATAAATATTACATATGGGACTAGTTAGAACTTCATAGAGACTTCCTGGTATTATGGGGACTGTAGTAAGAATGGTATGTAAGAATGTAATATTTTAGTGCCACATTATTTTTATTGTTCAAAATAAATATTACTTTCTTATAGGGTTAACGATCATCTTGCACAATGGATTAGACTAGGCGCCATAGCTATGGATTCAGTCAGTGGGGTGAAGACGCGGCACCGCTGGGCGAAGGGCATCCTAAGCTGAAGTCAACGTGTATAGCAAAGGATCCCACGATGGAATCAACTACCATGTATCTGTGACCAAGGCGAGCTCTCAATTTCGAGGATATCGCTTCTGTTTTTACCTGCAGAGGATGGTCTCCGCCAGGTATGCTTCCCTAAGATACGCTACAAAACAATGAATACCTCTACTTCTTTCCAACCCCTAAGTAACGAGCCTAAATGAACCGGGTAGTAAATGAGTTATAAGCCGCATAGGAGATGGAGTCTGGTGGCGAAAGGAAGCAGAGAGACGATTACTGCTATCAAAAGGATATTGGTGCAGTAGAAAAAAAGTAGAATATATATATATATATATATATATATATATATATATACATGTATATTGACATACATACATATAATGTATTTTGCATCCATTATAAACTACCCACTCTAAACATTTTATTAAGGGTTGCTTTCAATTTTTAAATATGGACAGCTTCAAGAAGTTTTACTTTATATTTATTATTTTCATGGAAAAGTATAGATGTATTTTCAACAAGAATTTTCCTAAATTACGAATGTCGAGAAGCCTCCCTTTTTAAAATGTTGAGAGATGTTAGATGCATCATTAAAACGACAACTCAACCATCGAGACAACGTAGTAGTGGTATGACCAACATATATATATTTTTTTATTGGAAATACAATCTCCCAAATTATTTAACTTTATATACAATGTTGGGTTTCTGCAAAACGTTTTAGTCTTAGAAAAAACAGCACCTTGAAGATGGCATTTTGCTAATGTCGAAAGTACTCGGAATAAAATGAATATGGTAATTTTCTTTCTTCTTTAATAAGGATACTAAGAAAACTGTCCGTAATTATGAGAGGATCCTATTAAAAATAAAGAGACAAAAATTGACTAAATTATTCATTGAAACATGTCTGAATAAAAACATGCTGCTAAAATACAATATACGCAATATATATATATATATATATATATATATATATTGCATAAAATGGAAATCCAAATTTACTTCATTTGAATAGCTTTTTCTGCCAACAGGATTTGTCAACTAAAAGTACCTATTCGAATGAGGTAAATATATATATATATATATATATATATGGTATTTTTGCGTACAATTTTGGCACAAGACCGAAGGAGAAGTGAGGTGACACTGGTCGTCACTGACTATCCTAAACCTAGCTAATCTAATTCGCGTCCCATTAAATCGTTACAATTTACTCATTCACTACAAGAATAGATCCCTCTTCATCCAGTCCTACATTAACCAAAATATAACATTCTCAGAGGGGAACCTACTAAAAAACCCGTGATGCAAAGTGTTATGTACCGTGCCTATGAACACTAATCGGTATGTCTCAATCGTTATATATACTTTGGACACAGTTGTAAGTGGGGGTAATATTCTAAGTAGTCCACGATTAGCAGCGGTCTACCTATTTCACGCCGCTGGCGCGTATTGTATTTTGTTGATGTAATAAAGAGTGGTATTTTATTTCCAAACTTCGTTTTAATTATTCCTCATTCAGTAACCCATTCTAGGTTAAAACAGTTAGAGATAGTTTCACCCAATACCTCAAATTGCTACAAAAGCAAATGATCAACCTGAAAACTGCGTGAACTGTCAGCGTAGGAAGCTCTTGCCGTGCCAAACTCTCTACTTTTGGGCAGAGAGGAATACGGACGAGGCTATGCCGAAGAGCAGAGTCTCGTCGGCGGAGATACCCTATCCCTCGTATGCGAGGTCTGCTGGCAATTTTCGTCCGAACCCACGGTTTCGGAGTTCTTCACATTAAATTTAGCCTTGTGCCACATCCTACCTCGTGGGGAGGCAGGTAAATATCGTAATATGCTAAGTAGTCCACCACTATCAGTGGTTCACTTACTTCACGTTGGCAAGTATTGTATTTTGTTGATGTCATAAAGATTAGCATTTCATTTCCAACCTCCATTTTGGTTACTCCTCATTCAGTAACATACGTTGCAACACAAAGTTTTATGGATATTTTTTTTTTTTTTTGCTTTATTATTTTACTCATTTTTTTTTTTACAAAAATATAAAAATTATGCATCATTATGCATAGTTTATATATATATATATATATATATATATATATATATATTTGTGTATTTAGGCAGCAATCCTTGTTTCATGCACATTTCATTGAAACCGACAGATATGTTGCTTTTATTTAATTTTTTTATACAATGTCTAATGCGATCTAATATTTTTTTTTTCTTTTCGGATGATAAATTACATAAAACTGTCCGCATGTTCTTTATATCCGAGCGCTTTCAGCTATACATTTAGCCATTTTCAAGTATTATATTTTAACTGTTAAAATAAGAAATAGTTTGTTGTATGTATGTTTTATAAAATGTTTTCATTTTTCAATTTTCAAAACACGGTCAAGATATTATGTCCATGTTCAAAGTTAATATTATTAAGTGTTGTTTTTTTTTGGTTTTTATTAATAAGGCTTCCATTATTTTTAGCCTTTTTTTGTATGAAGATGATGCTATTATATTAGTGTTGTCAACAGGTATGTTATGAATAATGTTCGGTCGGTCTCCATGAATATTTAAATGAGATCTAATTGAGCTATGAGCAGAATGGTGAAGAGTGAATTAAATCGCATCAGAAATTGTAAAAAAACTAAATAAAAGCCCCTTGTCTGTCGTTTTCAATGAAATGTGCATATATATATATATATATATATATATATATATATATATATATATATATATAGCAATGGTGAAATAAATTCTGTGGGTGAATAATCCAAGTGGGTCCTAGTAATATAAGAATATTAAAATTGATCCACAAAAATAGGGATCGACATTA